TAAATTATATTAGTCCCGCTCAGCATGGTTTCTTAATGAAGCACTCGATTTTCACCAATTTACTATTGTATCAAAATTTTCTAACTAATGCTTTAGATCAAGGTCTTCAAGTTGACACCATATACACTGATTTTCAGAAGGCTTTTGACAAAGTTGATCATATTTTACTTTATTATAAATTAAAATCATTTGGTATTGATGGAAACTTTCTTAAATGGCTATATTCGTACCTCACAAATAGAACTCAAGCCGTCAAAATCTCATTTCACTCATCACAAAATTTTCAGGTCTCTTCTGGTGTCCCTCAAGGTTCCCATTTAGGTCCTCTACTGTTTCTAATTTTCATTGATGATTTACCACATTATATATTAGATAACTCTAACATAGCACATATTTTATTATTTGCTGATGATGCTAAAATTTTTTGCAAGATAAATTCTGTAGCTGATCAAATAAATCTTCAATCAATATTAGATAAGTTTGTTATTTGGAGTAAAAAAAATTATTTACCATTAAATATTAATAAGTGTAATGTAATTTCTTTTACCCGTAGAGCTAATCCTCTTTTGAATCAGTATATAATTAATGAGTGTCCCTTATCAAGAGTCAATTCAATCAAAGATTTGGGAATTCACTTTGATAGTGATCTTGGCTTCAAATTGAATCATAAAACAATCCTCAATAAATCATATAAGATGTTAGGTTTCTTAAATAGAAATACTAAAGAATTTAAAAATCCTAGATGCTTAAAATTACTTTATACTTCTTTAGTTAGATCTAACCTTGAATTTGGCTCACTTGTTTGGTCGCAAAATCTAACAACATTTTACTCTGAACTTGATAATGTTCAAAACAAGTTTCTCAAAAATATTTCATATAAACTAAATCTTCCTTTCTCCAGAGACTCAATTATACCAATTCAGGTATCATTGGATCTCGATAGTCTTTCTCTGAGACGGAATCTAACAGATATAATGTTTATTTTTGACATTATTAATGGTTTTGTTCTTTGTCCTGAATTATTAGCAATGATTGGTTTCCGAATTCCTCGTCTTCATACGCGCAATCTAGATTTATTTGTTATTCCACATTATAGAACTAATAGTGGAGCCTTCTCTTTTCTACCAAGAGCTCTTAGGTTAGCCAATTTAATCTCCCACCATCTTGATTTTTTTAATTCTACTCGTGTAAATTTTAAACTAAATACTGTATTGCTTCTAAAAAAACCACATTTTATCTAATTATTATTATTACTTAATATTGTTACTTGTCGTATACATTTATTCTTAGTCATTTATTTTTAATTTTAAAACATTATTTAAATTTTTGTATTTTTATTACCTACTTAATTTATATGTATTTTGATTGTTGTCATATTGTTATATTATATACTTTGTAAAGGGCTATTGCCCGTTGAATATATTCAATAAATAAATAAATAAATAAATAAACAGAAATAATTTATCACAACAAATATGAAGTATTATGTGAAGTCCGTATATACATGCAGACAGGAGTAAATGAGTATCAGAACGATATGAAAAATTACATTAAAATATAAACATAAGATAATGAAAACACAAAGCATAAAATATGGTTCCTTTTTTTATTGTGTTGTTTTGTATACATTTGTCAAATGAAAGGTTAAAATTAAATACTTTGAATTTTAATCATAGTTAAATATTTAATTATATTATCTCAAAAATAATAAAAAATATATTATACTATATGAAATCGAATAATGAATAATGAATAATTTGATAGTATTGGTTATGGTTATTGATTCGGCTCTTCTAATTCTTAACAGCGATTTTTGGTATCATTGTATTTGAATGTATTTTGCACAATTTTTAATTTTTAAAATTGTAATTATCTCCATTTCCACACAACTGAAATTTTTATTTGTACCACCATCAAAAGTGCATTGGGGTTTAAATATTTGTATGGCGTAAAATGTTTCAATCATAACCTGTTGAGAGTTAGATTGAAAAAATAAAGTGACAATTTATAAACTGTTATCATAATTATTGATGATAATTATTATAACTTATTTCATTCATTAAATAATTTACTTTATTCCAATAATTAACAAACACAGCATAACTAAAAAATATTTTGCACAAAAAAAAGTAAAAATATCAAGACCAAGGTCTTTTACTCTTGTACACAATATAGAGTTCTAATTTTTATATTTTTATAGAAAAACTCAGTGTCTGTATTTTTGTTTAACGAGTAAGAACTATAAAAACTGAAAACATATAGGTGAATAGACGTAATTATGTATTATAATTTATGTTACCAAAGCTATAGATTCCTAATATATGTGTACATTAAGAAAGCTAATACAAAGTAATATTATTTACATCTTAAAAAATCAAATAAAGTTATAAAAGGTATCTCAGTAGGTAGTTTGTTACTATTTGTTATTTTTCTTTGAATAACCTATTCATGTTTTGGTGAAAACGTAGAGCTACTTAACGCTATTCATAAAAATACGTCACATAGTTGATTATGTATTTGTATAAATAATTTTTTTATGGTAACTAAATATTTCATAAATTATTACCAAGTAGTTTTCTTAAAATGTAATTCCTAATCAAGTCTAAATTATATTATTTTCATAAAATATTTAAATATCGAAATCAATAATCTGCATCAAATTTCATAATATTATGTACCTACCTAGGTTATCTTTATAAATTTTAGGGTGTAGATTAGAAAGGTTTAACTTATAATAATATATATACCTACTTTACACCAGACGTGATATTGATCAATTCATTAAACTAAGAGAAAAGGGCCTTAAGAGTACAATTTGCATAGAAGAGAGTTATTTAATTTAATGGGTAAACTTCGGTTTAAATTTGAAAACAGTACTTAAAGTTGTTTTCAACTTTCATTTATTAATTTATTAATATAATATAATATACTGTATATTATGTTTAAAATAAAAAAAAAAAAATAAAAAAAACGGTTCGTGTAATTAATTATAATTTTATTATGAGTTATTATAAAAACATTATAACGAACCATTGCTATATATGTGTGTGTGTGTCTGCAGTACTCTGTACATATTACATGTTCGCCCGGCATGACATGCTGAATGACATAAAAAACCAGTATAAAATAGCACTATGAAAATTGTCGTATATTCACCACAGTGTACACTGAACTGTTGCTTCTTTATGTTATTATTAAATTAATGCAATGATATCATAAAATAATATGTATATGGTATATATAGTGTTTTTTTTAAACAGTATATTATGTAAAACCACAACGGCGAATAATATTTTGGTATAGTTGGTAAATGTTCTCCAATGTCTATATTATATTTTATTACTTACAAACTGTAGTAAACTATAGGGTAAATTAGAATAGGTTTAGGTATAGGTACCAGGATGGCAGTAGCATGTATGATTCATAAAATTATTATAATAAAACTTTATTAGATCGTAGGTAGGTAATAGGTAGATGTTTAAATTAAATATTTACCGTAAATTATAGGTACTCTCTTTTTTTATGCGGCTATAATATTTTGTTTATTGTTTTTCTAAAGAGTATTTCATTTTGTATATTAACACTTAAAGACTGTTATTATGGATCTATACCAAACATTATACCTACCACAAGACGATATTGTCATATTGGTACTATTGTTGTAATTAAATAATTTAAAGCTAAAGTACGTACCTAGTAAGTTTGTGTTTAAAAAAAAGTTTAAAATTTGCAATAAATAAAAATGTTTGCCATTGCTGAACTCGGCACCCAGTAAAATGTATAATGATATAAGCAAGTGCATCTCTGTTTATACCGAGTGATCTATTTAACGTAGAAATATTGTCTGGAAACTATCAACGTTTTAGAAAATATTCTTGTTTACGTAATATTCAGTCATTAAAAAACAAAATTTTATTAAAAAAAATTGTTTCTTATCGTTATTAAATTTTATTATTTTTCTGTTTTTCCGACGACGACATGTATTGACAATAACTTATTCAAAAATAGAATATTTTTTGTTGCTTCTTGATATATAAAAATGGTAAGTAAACTGGTAGGTAGTTTGTGAGTTATAGGTATATTAAGTTGATAAATCGTAATACCAAATCGTAAAATGTATGTCGTCATTCGAAATTATAAAACGATACACATAATCATAGAAAATAGTAAAACATAAATTTTTCCAAAAATATTTTTTTTATAACGGCTAAAATAATGTGAAATAAATACATTCAAAAACGTTAGTCTTCTGAAATAATCAGTGCGTTGCTTCAAATGGATCACTCCGTATAAAACTGAAGTATCGTTATACGGTGTTATAGATTCATTGCGTAGACGATCGGGCGTGATACCTACTATAAAAGATTATACCTAAGTGGATAGTCAAAAATGTTTGTACACGCCACTGCACAGCGATTTATCAGAAACATATATATATATATATAGGAGTATAGGACATAGGTACATACTTTAAACATAATATTATTATTACCTATACTATTTTCGACGGTACGATTTATCACTTCTGAGGAGAATAATAATAATTATTATTACGAGTATTATTACGAACGCATAGTACCCGCGAGAGGACACAACCACCGCGTATAATATAATATTGTGATCGTTGCGTACGGCGGCGGAAAAAAGTTGCGCGCACGGTATTTATCGTGACGACGGAGGCAACACCGCGAGAACGCGCGCGCGCTCGCGCGCCCCGCTCATTCCGGGGTCCCCGCGTCGTCGGGCCGAGCGGCGGCGGCGGCCACGGCCAAATGCACACCGGCAGTTGGTCGGCCGTCACGTCCGTCGTCGCGCGCGCGTCCACCGTCCGTGCGATCGTTCCGCCGCCAGCCCGCCGCCGTACGCCGCCGTCCACCGTCGTCCACAGCACCGTTCGCGGTCCGCGTCGTAAACCTCCGGCACAGATCATCAGCACGAGCGCGACCGCCTCGCGTTGACGGCGGTACGCAAAGTCATGGTGGCCGCGCCTCCGTCCGGCCATGTCGTCACCGTCGTCACCGTCGTCGTCGTCGTCCCCGACGCGATCTTATAGGGGGGACGCGGCCACTGCAGCGGCCGTCACGCGTAGTAACCGCCGCCGGTCGTTAACCGTGGCCGCTGGCGCCGCGTCGGCCGCGACGGCCATGGAGTCGCCGACCATCTCGTCGCCTCCGGCGTCCGCGGACGGTCCTCGGCGCCGCGGGTCGTCGGCCGCCGGGGGCACCGTCTTCAAGTTCGGTGCGCTGGGCATCAGTGGCTCGGCGTCCGTGTCGGCCATGTGCGACGCCGCCAACGGGCCAGCGTCCGCGTCCGCCGTGGTCGGGGGCAGCGGTTCGGCCGGCGCGCAGGCCGGCAAGCTGCCCAGGACTTTGAGCACAAGCGTGTTGCGCATCAAGCACCGGTCGTCATTCTGGGACAAGTTTTGGGAACAGCGGTCCAAGAGAGACTTGTAAGTCACCGTAACTCTGACCCCCCCACATTTTCACGTATGACAGCACCCTGTGACCATTCGATACCCAAATGGTTACATACCTGAACACCCCGTATGGGTACCTGCCTGAAAATATTGTCTGTTAATATTTTCGTGGTATATATTATTATAATTAGTTTTAATAAACTGTTATCAAAACTATACTTTATATAGTTCGCACAGTATTTTTTTATAACACAATACTACGTTTGAAATATTATTATTGAAAGTTATTACGCATTAAAATGTATTTACCTAGTAGTGAATCTATATATGCTTGAGTCCGCGCAGAGTACTTATGTCGTAATGATATTGAAAGGTAATATGGTGTATTTTGTATTCTCTCGCGATGTTATAAAATAATATTATTTCTCTGACCGTATGCGCTGTGGTATCCTAAAGAATACTATGAAAATTAATTTAAAATACGACTCGAATACTTTTTTTCGAGTAGGTACCCACAATATTTATTCTCGATAAGTTTTCATGAAGTTCATGCGGGGAACAATACAAGTTCGAGTCATCAAGGGTCATTTCAACTGAACGAACAGAAATCGAATTTCCAAGAATTTCGAGCTATCTAGAATCTTCTGTATTTGAAATACTTTTCAAATAATAATAAAACATTTTTATTTAAATTCTTTTGATTTATACAGCTTTTTTCTTTTTAACAAGTCTTTTTTTTTATACTTGGCAACATTATTTGATCGTAATATTATTCTATCACCTACCTTCTATAATGTAACTATATAATAATTATTCTATTATATGGAGTTATATTTTGTTATTTCAACATAAATAATAAATTTCTTAATACAATCATTATAATGTGATTGAATAGTATGTTTGATTGAAATTCGAAAGCACAACTCACAGAACTATTACCAACGAATAAATTAAATTGAACCACCAAAAAATAAAAATCACTGGTAATGATAATTGTTTAAAACATATTAAAAAATAAATTTGAGTACAAAAGTAGGTACGTACTTAAAATTGTAGTCGAAACCAATAAAAGTCTACATTTATACTTTCACTCAAATATATAATTTACTGCAGGTGAAAAGCGCTGGCTTTTGAAAACTGACTCGTTATATAATCGAAGGGGATAAAACAATATTATAATAATATCTCACCAGTGAAAACGTTATCCCATTCCACTTCGAAACTCGACTGAGAAACAATCTACTAATATGAGTGTGTTATGATATATACAGGGCCATGAAACCCTACGGATCGTATACTTTCGGAGAATTCGAACCCATTCGTCTACCCTCACGACGACGTTCGCCCTGAGATCAAAATCCGCGAAATACGTGGTCGGTATAACCTGGTACTCGTCAGGTGGTTATAGGTACTACAACCCACCAGAGAAAGTATTGTGTTCAAAACGAAATATATCTACCGTGTTGTGTACAAACACGCACAGCTTTGAGCTTTTAGTTTTTAATCTGAGAACCGCATTTATTTATCCGATAAAAGTACGTGTGTACTCACCGCGGTTTAGCTTCAAGAAAACGCAAACACGACACCTCTCCTACCTATTCATATTTTGTACGCTATACGGAGTGATCCGTTTGACGAGGGACGAATTCTTATTATTTCAGAAAACACTGACGTTTCCGAAAATGGTTCGTTTTTTTTTTTTTTTTTAAAAGTTTTTTACTCTTCTGAATGACGACATACATTTTTCAATTCATATCCCGATATGTACACTCCCTATTTATAGTAGTATTTTAATCTATAAAAATAAAATTGCCGACATTAGTGTTTTGGTGTTATAATAGTGTTTTAGAAGAGCAAAATGTGGTGGACCGAAATTTTACCAGGGGTACCCATGTTGGAGTACCACTCCGCTCATATCATCTAAACTTTAAATACGTATAACTCGTTAACTATACGATAGTCTAAAATTGTTGTTATTGATGCATCAAAGCGCTCCAAAAAACATTCTTCTTTGGAATAATAAATCAAAAGAGTGTGTCGTCAATAAAAAGATTGAAAATCGCAAACGATAAAAAATAATAGTAAAAGCTATTAACGTTATAGATAAATTGTGTGTTTACGACGACTTAAAACTATAATATTACTATCCATGTAAAATGTACGCATTTTCAAAAAAATCAATTTAGTTTTTGAAACAAAGACGGTGTATCTGACTTTAAGATATGGACCAACCGGTAGTATGATAGTACTTAATATAATTACGAATAACACTGCATATAGAGTACGGCGCTGTATACATATATTATAATATGATGGGTACCTATCGGGTTTTCGGGGATTAGATTCATCTCGATATCGCGTGGCTTACAATATTATATTATTATAATATCCCCAGGCCATCCGTGGCGACACATAATTCGCGGATCGGATAAACGCCAATGGCGGAGACCATAGTAGTATAATATTATTATTTATGTACGAAAATCTCTCGAAAGCTTTACGAGCACGTCACCCGCACAGAATATAATCGGTCATTTGTTTCGTATGATGTTATATGACGAATATAAGACGTGTAATTAATCACGTCCATAAAATATACATCGCACTCATCATCAAAATATTGTATAGTATGTGTGTGCCACCGCGTAGTTTTGATCCCAAATTATTAGCTGTTCGCTCGCATCATAGTTGCTAACAACTGTTCAAACTTCGTTCCATTAAATTTAATTATCAATTTGAGATTATGAAGAATATTTGTCGGTTATTATTTAGAACGCGTGTAATTATTATTATTATCTCGCAGGCCGCGATGTATGCCCGTTGTTTGAATAGCGCACTATACACAGTTTAAAATGTAATTACTATTAGTTCAAAGTTCAGGTCTCCCAAGGGCCGAGACATAAATACTGCCGCAGGAATGACTTGAGCAAAGGGGACGAGGTACATAATATTATATTATAGGTATGCTTAGCTTTATTTTTTTTTTTCAAATAAATTCATCGTAAATACGTTCTATTTTATACTTAAGATCGCCATAGAAATCTGAACAAAAATGTTAAATGTATTATTATGTAAATTCGTAAATAAAAGTTTATGGAAATTACAAGTCGTTACCTAACTTTTTTTACGACTCTAGCAACAACCAATTTTTGGATATTTATACGATAGGTAGGTTCAAATATTTATATATATATATATTTAGATGTATAGCGTTTAATTAAATATTTATATATTATATATATATTAAATATGTTTTCAAACTATATAGTATATACACAGAAGCATAAAACTTTAGGTACTATTAATTATTCGGAAAATATGTTTAACACAACCCAGTAGCCCCTGTCCCATATTTAAGTACGGTTTAATATTCAGAGAGCTACCGAATAACTAATACAACAACATTAATCTTCGGACCCAAAAAAAATAAAAAAATAAACTCATACTTTGCCCGGCGGTAAAATATTTAAAGACATTAAAAGACGGGTGACAATTTTAAAAACTTGTTTACCGCGATAAAAAAAAAAACTGATTATAAATGTATTTACACGATATGAAAACGTCTCGGAAGCCCGAATAGCCGCATTATTTTGGATTATAATTCATTATACAATATTATCATAATGAAAACAACGCCGGCAAAAATAATGCGTCTCGCGATATTATCATATAATAATATACTATTATTGGGTACTATTATACAAGACAGTTTGCTGTAGAAGTTAGGACCATATTTTGTACGACGAGTTTCTGAATATTTTTGTCGTATCATCATAAAGTTCAATAATATTGTGATTTAAACCGATCGATTTCTAGAACAAATTATTCTCATTTTTCATCATACACATCTCTCGCACACGCTTTCGATCAAAACTTTTAGGTTTCCGTATTTTAAACTATTATGATACAATGCCATAATATAATATTTATTATAACCGTTTTCGCGACCGTTTGTGTAAATAAATAAAATCAGATGGACGGCCTTTGGCAATAGGTCTAGAAACATATTTTTAAGCAACTATAAGCTCAATCGTTTTCTTCTGGTACATTTACGAATAACAGTTAATTATATTATGTATTATAATGTAATATTATATTTATTTTGTAAGACGAATACCAAACATTTAAATATATCTATCTGCCAACACTCAAAACGAATGACTTAAAATGTTCGACGTGCCATATACCTAAAGGAAATGAATGGGCTTAGGTATTTAAAAACAAGTAAGGCGTTATTTTCGTGGGCTTTTCAACATTCTTATATGTACACGTTAAAATGGCTTCTCACGACTGTGATACATAGCTGCTGGTACAATCAATCGGACTCCTGTTGAAGACTCATCGCCTTAACTCGTTATAGAAATAAAATTAAACACCCCCCCCGCACAATATATATATATAATAATAAGACACCGGAGGTAGGTTTCACACGTTTCTCGCTTTAAACTTTTTTCCCCTCCGTTCTCGATTCTCGTTCGACTACGCTATTTGTTACACAACACTATACTATATATATATATAAACTCGCTACTAACTGAAAACGCATTTAACGACGTGTAATTTACCAGTATCGCGTATATAATAGTGGAAGAGGATGAGATACAATATAATGTATATTATATATAGACGGGACTTTAAGGAATACAAAAAAAAAAGGAAAATACTACAGCCCCGACGACAATGGTGACGATGATGTAATCCCACACACACGCACGTAAACATGATTGTTGCGTAATAATATGGCTGTAAAGGAAAAAACTCGAAGTGTTTCCCGAAAAAACAAAACAAAAATCCTAATTTGTTCGGGTCGCGAATGACAGGACGCGCACATCGAGTGGTGGTGTACTGTGCTACCTATATAACATAATATAATACTCTTATCGACGCCACTGAGTGAGAAGGTTCAAGTGGCATGCGCTCTAACAATCGTCCTTTTAAAACGAGTGTACAATATGTATATTGTTATGTGGTTATAGGACTTGTTTGCACCGAAAAATATAAAGGACAGCTTATATTATCTGTTTTTGGGACCCGCTT